TGCCAGACATATATACATTTGAAGTATATTGATGGATGTTGTGTCTCTTTATTCAGTGTTTTCTGTTACAGCAGGACTGATAAACACAGTTCATTAACTACCATTTCTTGGGTGAAGGGATCAGGAAGAATGAGTGGTGGCTATGAAAATCCCATCACTGTCATCATCACTCATCCCCTATGACTGGCTTCTTCCTGTCATTGCTTCCTTCATCATTTTATTGGGACAAAGAAGCAGTGGCCAAAGTGAGATGGCCACCTCCAGAGATGGCTTGGAGCCATGGAGATGCCAATTGGCTTGGGATAAAAAAAGGCCAGCCTTATGCTTTATTAACTATATGACCTTGGGTGGGTCATTTCATCTTTCTTTCCTCAATAGCCTGATCTCTCTCATGTGGGAATTTTCTTTCAATTTTAAAGCGATCTATATAACCTGTATCTCTGAATACCAAGATAATATTCTTTTTCAAAAATCCTTATGTTTAATCTTAACATGCTTTTGGCTTGACAATGGGCTTTGATGCCTAATTGTATGTTTTGGTAAATGGTTTTTCTTCACCTACTGAGTAAGCAATTAGCTAAGCACGGTGCAGTTTTGAAAAATACAGAGTTCACTTAATCTTTCGGGACCTAGTTTACAAAACTACCAATGTGTTTTAAATTTGGTCTTCCTTCCCATGTTATTAACATAGCACTTTCCTATTCAAAGATGCTGTCTCCTAAGTATGCACAGCCATGTTCGCAAGGGTCTTGTGTGGAGGATGGGAAGAAGTGGCACCTGAAAAACTGTATGTCGAGTCTTTTTCTGTTCTGTAGTGTTTTGGCCTATGAAGGGAATGGAAGAGAGCAGTGCTGTGGTGGTGATGGAAGAGAGAGAAGTGGTGGTGACTGCGAGGTCTAGACCACCCCGACAGGTTCTAACCACTGCTGATGGCTGTGGCCACATTTACCCGTGAGCTCAGAAGTGACCCTCCAGCCACACTGACGGGCAGCTCAGCTCTGGGTACTTGAGCAGCCCCAGCTTTGGTGAGCAGGTTAAGTACAGTAGGCCACAGCCATATGTGGAAGAGATGACCAAAAACTGACTAGAGCTTATGAACACCCACAGTCTCAGTGGATGTCAGACCAAAAGGCGAGCCTGGGCTTCTGGGTCCTGCTTACCAGTCCTTGAATGGCCTAGAACAGTGGTCAGAAAACCGCAACTCACAAGCCACAGGCGGCTCTTTGGCCCCTTGAGTGTGGCTTTTCCACAAAATACCACGTGCAGGCACACAGGTACAGTGAAACTTTGTGGCCCATGCACAGAAGTCGGTTTTCGGCCCGGGGTGAGTCTATTTTGAAGAAGTGGTATTAGAACACTCAAGGGGCTAAAGAGCCGCATGTGGCTCACAAGCCATGGATTGCTGACCACTGGCCTAGAAAACTCCCAGCTTTTCACTTTGGTTTTCTGAATAAAAACAATAGATATAAAACAAACCATAATTGATACCCAAAGTTGTACAAGATTGGGTAATGGCTATAAGGACCAAATTAATATCCATGTCCTACGTTTGTTCTCCATTTTCTTTTTGGATTTTTCATTCAAAGAAGTCAACTTATAAAATAGTCTTAAATATACTTTTGCTTATACATTCTAAGAAGTTATTTGAAATGAATCACAAATAGATTAATGTACTTTTATCTGATTTTGTCCCACTTAGAACACAGGCATTTCCTTAAGGGAGAAACAATGGTCTACAGCAATGGTTCTCAGCATGGTCCTTAAGCCAGCAATATTAGCATTCCCTTGAAATTTGTTAGGGATGCAGATTCTCAGGTCCCATCAAAATCTAAAGATCCAAGCATTGACCCATCTATCTGTCTTTTCACAGGCCCTCTGGCTTATTGCAATGCAATCTAAAGTTTGATAATCCCTGGTCCCTAAAGACTAATTAATGAAGTGAATTAAAAATAAAATTTGTGCCGAAACCACTATGTTTTCATAAGTATGAGGCTGTTGAGTGGATGATACAATCAGGGGCCTAAAACCTTTCTTTCATTTTCTGCAAAGTGCCAGCTGCAATGACTTTTGAGATCACAGGGGAAAGAAAATCTCATCCTCTTGATGGAAAATGAAAATACCCCTAGCATTTATGAGACTTGGAGAGGAAGTGACTGTTCACTTCATGATACAGAGAAATACATGGGGCAAGGACCCAAAACTCTGCTTTCCATCATGTTACACACAGAGAAGGGACACAGACATGCCAGAGATAGTCTATATTGGATACAGATGTCCCCAAAAGCACCAGTTTATTCTCTTAAACTACCCTGACAACACCAGCTGCTTATGAAATCATGAGGAGAGAGAGGTGAAGATGGTTCCGTGTTCAGACTTATATTTACAATAATTTTACAAACCTTGTTGCTTCCAAGGAAGAACAAGATGAAAGTAGCCTGCTAATAAAATCAGACTCGCCAATTAGATTCACATCTCTCACTACCTTGAATACCATTTATGCAAAATACATGCACTAAATGGAGAATTGAGGCAATTATCCAAAGTATTCAAAAAATAAAAATAAAAAGCCCACTTTGATCCAATCAAATGTCTGCTCTAGTAGGCAGACTTAACTTATATAAATGGAATTGGATCTCATCTCCTTATCATACAGGATGGATTCAGACTGACATCTGGTTAACAGTTCCTAAAAAACCTCCACCAGTTTCCTCATTTTTCTTCACTTTCTTGATCTTTCTGGCTAAAGATTAATCCATCCAACAGTCAATCAATGAATTCATAATGACTCCTGTGGATCTGAAAAGTAGAACTGATGGGCAAATGTTTCCAAAATGACAGAATTTCCAATTAACTAAAAAATTGGTGGAAAGTTACGTATTGTCTGCTTCTGACTCAGAAAGGTAAGGATGGTACCAATCAAAAGATTGGACCGTTGTTTCTCATCTACTTGGAAATATCAAATGAGGCACTACATGTGATTTTAGAAATGTGGTAGCACCTTTATGCTTAAATTCATTGGAGATTGAAACTCCCAGGAAACTCCTGAGTAAGAAGGAGGCTTGAAGGAGGGGAAGTAACTCAAGTAATGTACTCTGGACGCAACCAAAGAAACTGCGGAGGAAGCATTTTGGACAATTTTAATTGATGAAAGATGAATCAAAATTTAAATCTAACAGATAGTCTACATTAGTATAACTTAGCACAATATAACTTATCCTATCTAATAAAGAGGGAATATGCTAAATGACCCTCAGGCCATCGCAAAGATGATAGTGCCAACAGCCAATAAGGAGGGAATATGCTAATTGACTGTCTCACCCTCAAAGATGGCAGCGCCCACAGCCACAGATGGTAGTGCCTGCCTCCAGAGTCCCCCAGTCCCGTTAGTCCCTCAGCAGCCCAGGGCTGGCCCAAGGTGCAGGGAAGCCTCAGATGGCAGCTGCCCAGTAGCCCACGGCCACCTTAGGCTCAGGTAACCAGGGCCGGCCGAGGCTTGTGCTACCGGCAGAGGCAGCAGCAGAGGTGTGATCGGGTGTTGCCTTCCCCTGAACGCTGAGTCACTTCCCGTCCCTGATGGCTCCCAGACTGTGAGAGGAGGCAGGCCAAGCTGAGGGACCCCTCCTCCAGTGCATGAATTTTCATGTACCAGGCCTCTAGTGTGAACTTCACAGCATAACTATGCTTTCTACAAGGTAACCCAGACCATGTCTGTCTGACTCATCTTTTTCTCTCATCTTTTTAGACAACTGAGAGAAGAGGTAAAGGATATAGAGATTTGCTAAGTTTCCCCTTCTCCAGCATTCATCTCAAACCTAGAATTGTGAAGGCTCTTATGTTATTGGTCCATTCTGCAATGAAGGAGTGGAACTTGATCTTAGAGTGTTTCCCTCAGCTCTAACTAATTTAGTAACAGAAAATTAGTTTTATATAATCACCCCACAGCTATGGTTAATGACATCTGAAATAAAAACTGGTTTTATTTTGTACCTACCCTTGCCAACCATGGATAAACTCTTGCATATTTGGGACATTGAATTAAAAGTACTAAAGGTTATCTTTATTCATAAAATTAGAGATGCATACACAATATAATTCATTGCAGGTTACATGAGTAATAATTTTTGGACTCTATAAAATTCACTGAAGAGAGCAGTCATTGGAAATTTTTAATTCGGAAAACCAAATAAATCCACTCAGGGCTGATATTAGATGTTGCTGAATAGTTCTTGACAAAATTTCTCATATGATATTTATAAAGATCCCCCTGTTAAGGCTTAAACATTAGTGTGCACAATATAATTTCAACTATTTTGCTTTAAAAGCATAGAAAACAGCTATAAGAAAGCATACTCAAAATAGTAACTAACAGCTGTATATTTTCAATGATTCGAGTATAAATTCTGTAAGCATTTCTAATTTTTTATAATGAACATATTTAATTTTTAAGTCAGGAAAAATAAACTTTCAAAAGTCAGTATATACAATATGTCATATTCTTTAACTCAACCATATAAAAATTCATAGCAAAAGATGGAAAGAACATAAATCAAAGTGTTAGCAGTATTTATCTCTAAGGTGTAAAAATATAGAAAATTTTCATTTTGCAACATTCTAAACATTTTTATAATAACTATGTTTTAGATCTCTAAAGCATTAATAAAAGAACATGAAAGCATTTTAACAATGATTTGTCTCTGAGAAATAACTGTTTGAAATAATTTTACTGAGGAGTTTTATGACCCATTAATAATAAAGATCTAATGCATAATAATAACAAGTATAATATTTTTTATGAAGGGTATTCTGTACCAAACACTATCTGAGAATTCCCATTCTTTGTCTTATTTTATCACTAAAACAATGTTATGATATGTGTTATTATGATAACCATTTTACAGATAAGAATGCTAAGGCTAAAAGAGAGTAAAAATGAGTAACTTGTTCAACAAAGAGTGAGGTTAATGTTCAGAACAAAATCTCTTAGCCCCCACTTTGCCTGCGTGTGGAGTCAGACTGCAGCACCAGAGCAGTTGCTTGGGAATAATTGGGGCCTACGGCTCTCTGCCGGCAACCCTTTTAACGGCGAGCGACACGGCGGCACAAAAAAAAAAAAAAAAAAAAAAAAAAAGAATAAATCTCTGGTCTAAAAGTAAAAAAGATAAAGATAAAAATCACCCAGTCAAGTCATGTTTACTTGAACCAGAAAAAAATTTCAGAGAAGGGCCCTCTTCCAGCCTAGACACACAAGTCATGAACATCTAGTTTTTATACTTTCAATTTCCCATGTGAATGAGCCACATACTTGGCAACCCTATCCCACCCTTTTTCTCTCAGTTTTGTGTAATATCCATAAGAGAGAAAAAGAGACAGAGACAGACAGAGAGACAAAGAGAGATAGAGAGAAGGAAAAGAGGAGAGAAGGGAATGGAAGAAAAAAAAAGGAGGAAGAGAAAGGAAGATTCAGAATATCAGTGCAATCTGCAGTCTTTCTTGACATTCTGGTGCAGGTCAATTATCTTACAGTGTATTCTCTCAGCTTTATGGACTTGTTCTCTTAGCCTTTCTCATCCTTTTATATTTCTATTTCAGATTATGTTTAAATTATCTGTCAGCACCATGATGACAAGAATCAGCTCTCTTTTATCCATATCCTGGTTTGCCTAGTACAGTCCTAGTTTCTGATCTATATCTATTGTATATATCTACTAGAGGCCTAGTGCACAAAATTTGTGCATGGGGAGGGGGTGTCCCTCAGCCTAGCCTGCAGCCTCTCCAATCTGGGACCCCTTGAGGGATGTCCTATCGCCCATTTAAGCCCGATCCCAGTGAAACTGGGCCTAAACGGGTGGTCGGACATCCCTTCACAATCCAGGACATCTCTCTCACAATCCACATCTCCCAACTGCCCTCCCCTACTGGCCTGGCCCCACTCCAATTGCCCTCCCCTGCAGGCCTTGCCCTCCCAACTGTCCTCTTCTGTAGGTGTTGTCCCCCCCAACCACCCTCCCTTGAAGGCATGGTCCCCCCCAACTGCTCTCCCCTGAAGGCCTGATCTCCCCAACTGCCCTCACTGCTTGCCTGATTGCCCACAACTGCCCTCCCTTGCAGGCCCAACTGTCCTCCCCTACAAGCCGGGTCCCCCCAACTGCCCTCCCCTGCAGGCCTGCCCCCCCCCCCCAACTTCCCTTCCCTGCTGGCCTGGTACTTCCCACAACTGCCCTCCTATGCTGTCCCAGTTAGAGCTATGTGCCCTCACTGCTGTCCTGATTGCCCCCAACTGCTCTTCCCTGCTGCCCCAATCCCCCCCCCCCCACTGCCCTCCCTTGCAGGCCTGGGTCCCCCCAACTGTCCTCCATTGCAGGCCTGGTCCCTCCAACTGTCCTCTGGCAGCCTGGTCACCCTTAACTTCCCCCAACTGCCCTCCCTTGCAGGCCATCTTGTGGCAGCCATTTTGTGTCCACATTAAGGCAGCCTTTGACCACATGGGGCTGGCCATCTTGTTTCTTGGTATGACACTCAATTTGCATATTGCTCTTTTATTAGATAGGTATCTGTGTCTATATATCTATATGTCTATATATCTATATGTCTATATATAATTCCTTTTTCTCAAATGGCTCTGATTTGAACAGTCAATTGTATGGTGGCCCTATTTTAGCTTAATTATATCTTCACTACCTAGAATACCTGATACATTTTGAGCGCTTTCTACATATCTGTTGAATGAATGAATGAATGAATGAATGAATAAAAACCCCACTACAATCAGAAAACTCAACTTCTATTTTCTTATTTTCCCCAGTGCTAGGCAAAAGCTTTCCCTAGGTAGGTTCTGAGGGGTTAGTTCTCATGATGGTGACATCTAGTCACCTTGTCACTTCCCATGTTTGTCAGGGCCAGGTAGGTAGAAAAATGTTTAAGTTATGGAGATTAGGTACTTACATTTACTATGGGAGTTTGCTTTTATACAACTGTGAAAGAAGCTGGGAAGTGAAGGTTTAGGAGGGAACTTGGATGATGAAGAAAGTCATCAACCAGTTAATCTGTGAAGTTCAAGTGTGTCTAGCCACCAATGTGGGTCTATGAAGGGGAAGCTCACAGCAAGGACATTGAAGTTATAACAACCTTCAGAGCATAATGTCTGGGCCTTCACTACTCTCTTCCAAAGAGGACATCAATTCATGTTTAAACAAGCTCAACTCAAAACTATTCAGGGAATGGGAATCAAGGAAAATATGATTTTGCCTAACCAAGTTGATACAGCACGAACCAGCACACATTTTCTTTGACCCTTCTGTCCTCGCACTTGCACAATTCTTTTAAACGGCAGCAATCCCAGTCTCTGTCAGTGTCCCACAGACTTTCCAAATGACCCTGCATTCTGTCCCTGGGAGGAATGTCCATGGTGGCTTGCCCTAATTCTGAGCTTTCCTCCAAAAGATAAAGATATTTATTCAAGTCCTTTGGGTACTCAAAGCCTCATTATTGTTTATTTATTTTTACCTTGTAAGACTTAATTGAGAAAAGGACTGAAACTTAGGAGAGCAGCATTTTTCTTATAAAAAAAACAAAACTCTTCAACTTATGATGGTGGGTTCAATATGCTTATGTGAGCTTACCTGGGTGTGTCATCACCATGTATAATAGTGCTTTTATCAATAGGAGGAAGAAACAATTCCTAAAACTTCTAAGTGAAATCAAGGCACACAGCTACATTGTCTTTAGGGATGATCCCAGTCTGGCTGAAGCTGCCATGCCTCAGGGAATCAGGTTGCTAAGAATGGTCACAACCTTGGGCTGACTAGACTGCCAGATATCAAGCTAGAACCGGTGAGGGAGACTGAAAGCCAGCATGGGAGTGAGAGCCAGCTAGCAGAGCACTAATATTCAGGAAGTTTATTGTTAGGCATGTGTGGCCATGAATTAATACTCATAATCACAGAAGCCTGAAAAGTACAAAGACCAATTAAGAAAGTGAAAGGTCAAAATATGAGTATAATTTCAATTCAGAAAAGGCACAACAGTCTGAATTTATTTTGCTAATATTGTCCCTAGGAAACACTATTGTGATTATAATCCCTCTCCATCTTCTCTCTCTCACACACACACATCATCATCATCATCATCATTTAAATGCTGATGAATAGATATAAGATATTCAACAAACCTAGACCATACCAGGAATTGGGCAGCCTATCAGCTGGCAACCTCCAAACACGTTTGAGAGTTTCCTACCTTTATAAGGCCATTATGACCTCTTGATTTACTATTTATTGCATCTACTTCTACCACTTTATGCCAGCCAATTTGACTGAGTAAACTAATAGTGTTATGCTTATCTAGCCCAAATTTGGAGTGACAACAGTTCCAAATGTAGAAATTCACAATGTAGTAGAATATCAACATCATGACACTTGGTTTATATTCCATAACTCAGTCTTACCAAAAAACCTTATCTTCTCTTTCTTTGTGACATCAAGCCTTTTCTATCATATGAATACTTATATTAATTAAGATAATTAATTATGATCATCTGTGTCATATATTCTACCTTCACTCAGATATAAAACTACTTTACTTTAGCTCAGAGTTTGTATCAGAACTGTCTATTCATTTAAAGAAATCAAACAATAAGTTTGGGGACCTTGACATTACTTGACAGTTCAATATCCTTACATTTCTAGCCATTTGTGTCATGTTTTCCTTGTTAGTTTGTGGTGTGTATTTTTTTATGTTCAAGGTCAACTTTCAATAGCAAAGTACTTGAGGATGACAGTCTTTCCTATTAATTTGCAAATTAATCATTGATATTAATATGTATTACCCGATTTTGAAGTAAATTCATTGGACTGCAAATGGGGGTTAGATGCATAGTGTGTCATGGAGTATAAAATATACTCACTGATTCCTACAGCCATCAGGGCAAAACCACACTCTGCTATTAACTAAGAGGGTGATTCTATACAGTTTCCTCATTTGCAAAGTGTGGATAATAATGCCCATTACTTGGATTTGCTGCAGGAAAAAAAAAATGTATGTAAAAAAAATAACTTTACAGTTCTATTCAATGCATTGTGGTTTTAAATCTTTTTCTAAATTTCAGAATCAATAAAGTAATTTTAAAAATCACTTACAACTGGAGTAAATTATTAAAAAGCATCATGGAGCATTTTTCACTCTAAGAGCTAAGAAATTAAATACAGTACATAGGAACCAGAAAGAAAGGGATGTTGGGGCAGGTATATTTCTAACTTTCTAAAGATTACATCAAGGTAGGGGAGGATGGGGGTAAGGAGGAGAGATCAACCAAAGGAATTGTATGCAAGCATATAAGCCCAACCATGGACACAGACACCAGTGGGTGAGGGCATGGGTGGGGGGTGTGGGGCTTGGGGGTAATGGGGAGATAAGGACACATATGTAATACCTTAATCAATAAAGAAAAAAAAGTTTTTAAAAAAAGAAAGATCATATCCTATCATATGATGCAAAGGGTATCTATGGCCTAGTAAGCAGAGGACTCTAGGATGGGATGGTCTGTCCATCTGTGGCTATAAAATTCTGGACTAAAAGCTACAAATCTTAGTCACCCTGTCCTCTGATAGCTCTCTGGGGCTACTGCCTGTGGTTCCTGCAGATCTAGGGCTGAGTCACAACAAACTGTGGGAAAGAGGTGATGTCCAAGAATGAGGCTCATTGACCTTCAAGTGCTGTACCATTTGTGCTCATAACCTCCTGTATTCCTAACTGCTCCGTGTGGGATCATGGTAGTAACTAAGGATATAAAATAAAAAAAGATCTCTCCACTATATAACTCACTGTACCTCACAGCATGATTGTCTTCCCAAAACCCAACCCAATCACTCCTACAGGAATCTTTGCATCATCCTTCACTCCTTCCTCATTTTCTTCTGAAACTTTTTTACAAAGTCATCATTAGAAAGATGGCTTCTGGAAGTGAATATATCCATTTATCCCTTCATAGAGTTTAATAAACTTTTCTGAGTCATCTCTGCCTTTATATGACTAATTTCTAAACCACCACAGAAACCTACTTATATTCTCCCCATCAAGCATCCTTCCAACTTGTGTATA